ACACGTGACTTAGTAACCTTTATCGTTCCTAGGAGCTTAGTGGTCCTATAGCTACGGCACGTGATTTCACTATACCTTAAAAATAATCATAAAGCCCCTCCGTATCTTTAACTCACCTATAGCCTCCTAAGGACGTTAGTTAATATAACCGCACTTATATAAAATAGAATTAATTTCACCGCTATTCGTTAAAAGTTGCTTAATCGCGCTAAACGGGACGCTACTACACTAAGACTACCGGTATTATATAATCGTTACTAGCTTATCTATCCGATAGTAATTATAAATAAGAGAAAATATACGATTTTAAAAATTTAGTCTTATTATAAAGAATATAAAGAGGAATTTTTTACGAATTTTAAGAAAGATTAGTTAGAAGAAGAGGTATATAGGTTAAGTATAGAGGCTAGGTTCTATTATTACTATTAAAACCTTACGGAGCTCCGAGAAATTACTAGGAATAAAGGGTTTATAGATAAATTAGACCTATATAGTGCTTAGTTTAATATCGAATCTATATACCGGATACTATCCTCTCGATCTTTAATTATTATTACGGTATTAGAGATTCCTATAGGTTCGCCCTAAATCTACCTCTTAGATATAATATATTAACTAATAACTACTAGAAACTATATTAGAGCTATTATTAATAGTTCTCTTTAGTCGAGACTTAGACTTTAAGGATTATAGTAAGCTCGAAGAGATCTAGGAAAAATCCTTATCGCTAAGGTCTTATATAGCTTTTATTAGTTTAGATAGTATAAGGTAGGCTAGAAATTTCTCTTTATAAAATATTAGTTACTAATATAGAAAGGAAAACTAAATTAGTAGTAGAGCTCTCTTTTTATATCTATAAGAATTCGTTAGAGATATAGTTTCTCTAGACTTTAGCGCGTAGCGTAGATCACCTTAAAAATAAGTTCTCTAAAATTATTAAACGACTTAAGATCTATAGTCGTTAATATCTTAGAGTAAATATATTTAAACTTATAATTAATTAGCTTTATAAATAAGAAAACGGATAATAGGTCCTAGTTTTAGATAATATAGTTAGTAAAGCCTTACTAACGGACGATAGCTATTAATAGCTCTAGGGAGCTCTTACGAGCTCTAAAAATAGCTTAATAATTATTACTACGCGAAGTAAGGGAATAGTATTAAATTATATTAATAAGAATAATACTATTTTTATCGAGCTAATAGATAGGCTTTATACGATAAGTCTAATATAAAAAAGATTAAGTATACCGTTACCTAAAGAGGATAGCTAGCTCTAAAATCTTATATAAGAACTTAATTATATATCTATAGTTATTATATAGGTTATAGCCTATATTAATTCGCGTTAGTCTATCTCGCCTATATAAGAGTACCTAGAATATTTTTAAATAAGCGACTATAATAAGGTTAAGCGACTAAGTTATAAAACTATATATATCTATCGTAATTAGGAGGAATTAAACGCTATCTTAAAGACTTTATAGTATTTACTCGATTAAATTCTCTTAGTTAGGCTATTAGCGGCGGATCTCCTATCTATTATAAGTTTTTTTAACCTAGAGAGTATATTAGTACTACTTCTCTAATAGGTCTCTATAATATAGAGAGGCCGAAACTTAAGTTTAGGTAATTACTTTAAAGAAGATACTTAGTTCTTATTAGGATACTTATTAATATCTATAACTTAGGATTCTAAATTCTATAGAATACGTAGTCTAGTATAGCTCGCGATACGAAATTAGCTTAATATTAATAGGTAGACTAAGTAATATATTAAAAAATATATCGATATCCTTCTAGCTAAATATAAATACTTAGATAATTTTAAGATACTTTTTCTATATATCTAATCGGCGGCCTCGAAGAAGCTAACTTTATAGAGCTTACTTCTAAGGTAGGCGTTAGTACTCTATAAGGGAGTAAAGTATATATAGAAGGAGGGAAATTTACTAAATATAAAAAAGATAACGTAGAAAGTAGCTTAGGCCTAGGAAACGGTTTTTAGGCCTAAAGATAAACGTACTATAGTAAATTTTAACTTACTAGTATTTACCTAAGAGAATACTAGGGTCTAACTTATAGAAGGGGAGTATATTTATAGTATATAGGAGTTTAGTTTTACTATTAAGTATATAATAAAAGATATAGGTCGATAATAAGTAGGAATTCTATAAGCTACGATAGATAGAAGCTACTAATTATATCCGATAAGGCCTAAATTACTTCGATTATATTAAAGTATATAAAATATAAGAGTTATCTAATCTAGGGTATATATCGAGTAATATTCGCGAAGTACGTTAATATAAATAGGTGAAGTAAATACCGGTATCGCTATTAGTATACTACGGCGGTAAAGGGAATAAAAAGCCCTAAAAATAGAATGATAGTAATTAAAAGTCGATAGAGTTTAGTTAAAGTCACTTAAGAGCGAGTAATAAGATATCTAGTATTTTAGGTATAGGTATTTCTAGTAAGTTATAACACTATCTTTCATTTTATTGCCCTTATAATATATATCGATATTTTAGAATATATAAGCTAAAGCGTATAAGGACTAGCGTGTTTTAATAACACTTTTCTAGGACCTACCGCTAGGTAATTAGCGTAGATAGTTCATTAAGCGAGCGGCCCTAAATTAGAAGGTATAGTAAATGCGTATTATATATATTATAACCTAGGGTTAAACCTCCCTATCTAGTTCGATCGATTATCCTTATAGCCTCGTTTATTAATATAGCGTATTAGTTATAGATTCCTTTTACTTTCTACTTCCTACCTTAATTTATATAATAATATTACTAGGGTTCGTAGACTTAGAAAAGGCGGAGGAAAGTAGCCCTAATCCTTAGCCGATAATACTAATAGGCGGTAAATAAGCCTACTATAAGAGCCGATCGGCCCTAATTCTATTATAAATATAACGTCGGAATATATCTATAAACACTATAGGGCCGAAAAATAGTAAAACTAATTAAAGCCTTCTTCTTTAAGAAGAAGTATAATCCGCCTTATAGCCTTTCTTATTCTAAGTAAGAGTCTAGTAGGTCTAATCGATAAGTAAAGTTAGTAGAGTCTAGATTTATAGTTAATATAAAAGGGTCTATCTACTTTATTATAATACTAGAAAAAGCTATACTTAGTATATATTTTTAGCTAAGCTACTTTTTAATTATAACCCTAATAAACCCTCTCCCTATCTATCTTTATAGTATACTATCGTATCTTATCGCTTAGTTTAAATAGATTATTAAGCGTAATAGGAAAGACCTTATATAATTAGCGGGTAGATAAATAGGCTAACTAGATAGAAGTATAAGTAAGCTTACTTTTAGTAAACTATAATTTTTATACCGGATTCCTACTATTATATTAAGGAATCTATACTACTCTAGGTAAAGAATAGTAACTATATATCCCTCTTTTAAGACTAAAGGTTTTAGTTTATAGCTATAGTCGTTAGTATAAAAAGATACTAAGGTTTTCTATTTTATTTTATCTTTAATATAGAACCTAAGCTATATAAAAATTTTAATACTAATAATCTCTATAAGGAAGTACTAATACTTATAAAGGTAATAAGAATATCTATCTTTAGTCTTAAAAAAACTTAGATTAAGGCCGTTCTTTTTAGGGAGCGTATTAAACGAAGGAAACGTTATATTATTACGTAGATTAATATATAGCGTCTTATCTATTATCTTACTATAGCTTAGCTTTATACTTTTTTCCTTCTAAAGCTAGGCGTTAAAATCTTTTAATAATAGATTAAAAGGGATATCGTTAGTTAAGCTTCGTTACTACGAAAAGAAGCTATAGAATAAATAGCTAATAAGATCTCTAGCTAGGTTATTTATTTTATATACTATAAGACTATTACTATCTTCTAGTATAATCTAAGATTTATAGGCTCTATTAATAAATAATCTTACTTATATCTTATCTCTATTATAAATAGTGACCTAAAAGGTATTATAGTATACTTATAATATATTTATATCCTTAATATATTCCTCTTTATATAGCTAGAGTAGCTTATATATATTATATAAAGAATCTAGGGGTAAGATAATTATATATACTCCGTCGCCGATTAGTTTATCTAAGCGCTATATTTTATCTAGTTTTACGTCGCTAATAGCTTAATAAGGCGGTAGTATAAAAGATAGCTTAATAGGGCGGTAGTATAGAATATAGTTAGTAAGAGTAGGTAAATTAGAAGCGCTACTATAGAGCTCGATAATATTAAAAATAGTTTATATAATTATAAAGATAAAATAGGGTAATCTCTTCGTCTTTTTTAATATTACGAAAAGCGTAGATAGTTAGTTACTAAAGATCTTCGTTCTATATATTCTAACTATTCTATAAATAAGTATAATTAATTCGCGACGCTTAAATAAAGATACCGCCTATAGAGGTATTAGATCTAAATAGTAGGGCATTTATATATATAATACCTAGCTCGCGGGTTTCTTTATCTTTAAACGCGTTATATAGAGCAAAGAACGACTACCGCTCGTCTTAGCTTAGCGCGGCGACCTCCCTAGATATCCGTTCTTATACCTATATCTTAGAGACTATAGACCTTAGTACCCGTATCAAAGGAGCTTTAGAAAGGATGCGTTCGCCTTTTTCAATCTTTCTAGCGGCTATGAAACCTATGCCCTTATAAGGGATCTCTTTGATGGTATATAGCATTTCGGGGGTTTTGGTCGACATGTTGAGTCTCGTCGCGCTTTGAACGGTTTTTTTTTTTTTTTTTTTTTTTGAAAACGAGGAACGTGACCGTTGCAGTGCAAACTTGAATAGACTGGTATTCTGAGGATCTAGGGACCGTCACTAGCTGGTGTTCGGCTTCATCGCGACACGCGATTCTGATCCGGTTGGTATCCCTTGGGCTTACAGTGACCGCGCGGCAGCGCCAGTGAGTGTGATCATCCATCTTCCGGATCTCTGTCTCGATTGTGGCCCTGATTGAACCCGCGGATGCCTTCTCACTTTCGCTTTCGGTCATCTTCGAGGTGTCTATCGTGCAGTACAGCGTGTCGGTTAAAGTGGTTGGTGTTGTGTTCGACGTTGAGAGAGTCCGTATGTTGCTCGGGTGACTGAGTGGGGGGGGGGGGGGGGTGGGGGGCGACATCTGCATAGGACGGGGAGCTTGCGGGGGCGGGGGTGCTGATTTCTTCGCGTAAGGATTGGACTTCGCGAAGGATCTCATCGTGGCCGTTCCGCGCGCATGGTTCGGGGAGGGGTCTCTCTGCCAAGGTCTGCAGCTCCTGTTGAACCTCTGCAAGGGCGGCGCTAAATTCTTCCTTGACTTTCTGCAATTCTTATATATATATATTCTTGCACTTTCTGCATCTCCTCTCTGTGCCAATCATCTCGCCGTTTGATGTCTCTCCTCAGTTTCACGAGCTCTTTCACAAGATTGGCGGCGTTCGTGTCGTCGCTCTCAGTCGACGCGTCGTCCGAAGTCATCGCTTCACGTTGGGCTACTGGCTTGCCCCGGGTTCTCTTCTTCTGTTGAGAGCGCGCATTTCTCTGCTGGATTTCGATCTCTTGCTCTTGGTCATAGTTGTTACGCGATCTGGTGGTGCGTCTCGGTCTCAATAATCCTGGCGGCGATTTCATCGTGTTCGTCGCGGTCGGGCGGTTCAGGGGTTCGCGTCTCGGCCCGTCCCGACATTTCTGACCCCTTGCGTCGAGTAACAATGGGTCTTCACTCTCCGAATCTGAATTCAATACAGTCGATCGCAGATACAGACGCGCTCCGTCCGCCAGATGTACTTAACTCTGCTGCTTTTACCGTCTTTAGCTCCGCAATAGTTACAGTGGAATTCAAAATCAGTTTTAACCTCACTCTTGCGACTTGATTTGCGAACCCTAACTTGTAACACGCTAGTCTAGATTTGGCATAGTAGTCGACTCGATTTCCAAAAATAGAAATCGTATATTACATGACACGTGTATTTTACTCGAAAGTCCCATACGATGGTACTGTAAGTATTTCTCTGCCATACCGTTTACCCCAAGCAGGGAGCATCTTCGCCCGCTTATCTCTCTTGAATGTCAAGTCACAATTAACGTCACAACATGTCTCCGAGACTTCCACCATCCAAGCTGGATCTCATCCAAGAAAGTGATTTACCTCTATATCCAATTTTCGTTGGTGCAAACCGTTTGGCCCGATCAAACATTGCTTTGCAATGACTTTGGCCAGCTTTCTAGCAAATTTCCTATCAGGGAAGCGCGCATCAATTGTGTATGGAACGTTGGGCCGAGAAGCGCGGAAGGACCGTGCAGCCTCACGCCATTTTCGTCCGCCAATCGGACACATTCAAGTAATACCCCTCAACTTTGTTTCAAGGCCACATCAGACAAGATGCGACGGCGCGGTGATTTGCAGTTTGATTGATCTTCCACCGACGTGGTCGCCGGTCTAGCTTGTGGGCCAGGCGCTAAAAAGCACTAGCCATGTGTCCGTGAGTCGCTGATGCAAGGCGGTCACTTCCATGGCTTGGAGCTTCTGTGATTCGTGTCGCAGTCATGCCTTCTTCCAGCCAATAACGGCATCTCTTGATAGCTTCAGAGGCATATGCCACGTAGAGTTGAGCCTATTGTACAGCGCTCGAACCCCCTTTGGACGTATCCAGTATGATGAAGTTGCATAGATCGAGCGGGGAACCCTGCCGACAAGGAAGTGAGTATGTGACTATCAGCAAAGCTCACGTTGTGGCTTGCCTAGGTTCCAATTTCGAAATATAAAAGGCGGCTTATTTCTCAGGGCTTACCACTTCAACGACTCCACGAGTGTATTTCGAATCTTCACTGTGATACTCAGATTTATCTATCGAAATGGCTTCAGCCTCAATCATCAAACAAGGAGTCGTACCCGGTTTACACGTCGCTCCGACGTTGGCTGACCTGAAGCAGTCATCCATCTTGTATGTTTTACTGTACTGTCTTTTTAAACTCTTTGCTTCTACTAAGGACTACTTTAGATACAATCAGCTTCCATCCGACGAAGCGCAACCACCGCTTCTTCGTAATCATTCCCAAGAAATTCGAGACATTTTGATACGTCATAATGTCCAGGACAAAATCGGCATCCATCTCATCCATGGGCATTTTGAAATTCCGAGTGATCAGGTAATGCTAGGACATTATTTTGAGAGCCCCGCAGGCTGTTGGACAAAGCCTGTCCCTATTGAAGAGGTTGACACTTCTAATATCCACGGTCATATTTTCAAGCTGTCTAAGGACGGAAAACTTGTGGCTTATGAGTACCGGGAAGGCCTGCCGACCGATGTTAGCGAAATTGATCCGTGTTTCTTTGAGGAAGTCTTCAAGTACCTCCTTGATCATGACCTGACGGACACATTCGGGCTGCAAGCATTACGTGGGCAGAATTCGCCAATGATAGAGCTTGTGCTGGGAAATGCTGGAACAGTGATGCTTGATGAGGCCCATGCCCAATATGGAAAAGTCTACAGAACCACTGGATGGTGCGTTGGTCATGGACGCGAGAGTGAGGGCTTGGAAGATGGTGAGAAGCACGCTCAGACTACGAAGGGTACTCACAGAGTCTTCGTTGACGAAATTCCCCTCTCTACTATCGGAGATCTGAGACGCTTCCTCAAGAAAGAAGAAATCATCCTGTAGCTCGAAGAGCTTTCGCTTTCTATGGGCCTTCCTACAGCACATTTTTCTTTTATTCATATGCCTTTGCCTTCTCCACCCACATGCCAATCTGTTTACTAAATACATTCTTTTACTGGGTTATTCACTGGCTTGACATAACGAATGCTGGCGTAAGCTGGAACTCCAAACGGGGCTTTTCATGATCAATCCTCCAAGGAGTGTAAGAATGCATCCAGATATCTAATTGAAGAATCTTGCTCATTCACGGGCCTTTCAAGGTCCCCATTTTCCCAAGTGAAACCATAGCGAAGAACCAATCCAGTCCGTTCCGCAATCTTTATTGCACTTTTTTCATCGTTGGAAATATTTCCCACATGTCTATAGAATGTATCCCAGAAAAGGTCTTCCAGACTGGAAGAATTTTCGAAGTAATGCCACCCGCTTGAGTTCATAATACCAAGCATGTTCCGAAACCCCCATAGAGACATCCCAAAAGGCAAAACTTTGGCTTCAGCCCAATCGATAACTCCATTGATACCGCCCGCTTGAGGATTGACAACAATATTCATCTCACACAGATCAGTGTGAGTTAATGTCAACGGATACCCGGGAATAAATATTACTGGAAGTTCTTCGCGAAGCTTGGCGATGATGCCTGTGAAACGCGAAGGTAGCTGCCGTAAAAGTACATCCAGCTTGTTTTGAAGATCTGCCAGAGAGTGCTCAGAGCGATGAGGCTCCGCTAGTCGGTTCACCCATGAACTAGCGAAAAATCTAACGAGATTAGTGGTATTTTCACGATATAGTTATACGAAAAGTACCTTGCAAAGTCTGACACTGTTTTCTCTTGCCATGTAACACAATATAATGTTGTCAAAGGCGCTTCGATGTAGGTTATACCGGGAACCTTGTCCATTACATAGACAGCAAGTGAGGGCGATAATCCCAGAACACCCCTATTGACACAGGCAGGTACAATGTTGCCGTATATCTTCCGAGCGAGACTCAGCCTTTCCGTATTCAAGAGAGACCCAGGAACACGAAATTGTACAAGGAGCTCCTGACCTGCTACAGTGTAACTGAACGCTCCTTGAAGCCGGACTGGCTGCACAGCTTCACCAGTGATCTCAGCAGCTGTTCGGTCGCATTCCTCCTGCGTGACGGTGCAACCGGAAAAAAATTGATCGATTGTATCCTGGAGCGAATAGTAAGACATCCTGGCTGCGTTGGTATTTTGCTAATAGAAAATGTAGAAAAGTTGGGTCGGAGGGAAAAAAAGGGAGGGTCTGGGGATCATGGGGTCTTAGGTAATAGCATAGCGGTCAAGCCTGTCAGGGGGCAGGTGCGTGGAAATGAATTAATTCAGGCGGACGAATTTACTGACCAATAAATAGCCTCCGACAGTGTGGACATGTCATTTGAGTGGCTAGCATGTTGTTTCGAACTGTAATTCGAGCACACGTCGTGCAATGATCGTTGAAAGCTACGATTGTATATTTAAATACATATATGTACAGGAAAACCTCTGACAGTGGGTCATGGTCACGGCGGATCATGCTCTTGCTCACTGAGCACGATGTAGTTTCTCTTTTCCCTAAATCCCTGGGGTTGCCTGGTTGTTGCCTGGGTATTGGGTTCTGTACGTGACTAGACCTCCGCACCAGCCCGCAAAGCCCAAAGCCCAACCCGCCCCAACCCGCAAATGGGCTGGGCTTTGGGCCCGGTCCCTGGGCCCATCGGTGGCTATGGGCCTAGGGTAGAAGCCCACTGGGCTTTTATGGGGGCCCAATGGGCTTCAAACAATACAAACATGCTAATGCTTGGCAGATATATAAGTAATGCAGATTTTTCTAGTATTTCTAGGTATTTAGATTACCCCCTAGATTGACTATAGGTGCCTGAATTGACTGAATTGACTGAATTGACTGAATTGACTGAATTGACTGAATTGACTGAATTGACTGAATTGACTGAATTGACTGAATTGACTGAATTGACTGAATTGACTGAATTGACTGAATTGACTGAATTGACTGAATTGACTGAATTGACTGAATTGACTGAATTGACTGAATTGACTGAATTGACTGAATTGACTGAATTGACTGAATTGACTGAATTGACTGAATTGATGAAATTAAGATTTATGAAATTTAAGAAAAATGTAAATTAATAGAAAGATGCACTGACTTCTCTCTATGTGAAATATATATATTTGCACATTGATTCTCTGTTAACTGTTGAACCCCCGTATTAGGCTAGATTAGGGCCGGCGCCGAGATCTTCCGCGGTAAGCATACAGACTTAAACATGTGTAAAGAATAGACATTAATCAGCAGGTTTATGAGCGCCAAGACTGTATTTATGCATATAAATGGGCTTTAATGGGGGCCTCATGGGCCCCTATAATGGGCCATGGGCTTGGTTGGGCTTCGAAGGTAGGGCCTATAGCCTACTGCTAGTTAGGCTATGGGCCTGAGGTCCGGGCCCAACCAGGCTGTTACGACCCTCTGCTAGGAGAGTGCCTCACAGGCTGGATCCCGCCTGGTCCTATGACCCAGAACCCGTGACCCAGCAGGGGTAGCATGACCCCCCGCCAGAGACCGCACCAGGGAGACTGAGTCCTACCGGGTCAGGTGACCTAGTCCCGTGACCCGCCAAAGGTCATCTATATAGAGACTACTAGAGGAACTTAGCTCTTTAGCGATTAGTTTATGAATATACTAGCACCCTACTATTCCTTTACTCTAGTTCTATATTACCTACTAGGACCCGCTAGCACGCCGGTCCTAATATTCTAATCGCTAAATCTTAATTAAACTAGACCGTTAGAATACGTAATATCGACGACTCGACGCACGAGCGACCGCCTAAGGGGAACCTTAACCCCGATCGCGGAAACGAACGACGTCCTAGGACCCCTATAACCCCTACTAGAAGAGGTAGAGATATAGGGAGTCGACGATAACCCTTAGGGAGGAAACCCGCCGGATCCGATAACCCCGACCGAGGTAGATAAGGAGGCGGAACTCCGAGAGTTAGAGGCCCTTAAAAGATATCTAGCTCTAGTAAAGGAGAAAAATAGGATCCGCGCGGAGCTATAGGACGAAGAAGAAAACGTAGTAATCCTATAGGCGAGAATATAAGGATCTAGGATCCGTTAGGGTTCGCTAGATAGTACTATTAGCTAAACTACCTACTAACTACCTAATACTACCTATACGAACTTAATTATATCGTAAGGAAGTACCGGAGGCTACCTATCCTATTAGAAGAAAGTGAGGGAACTATATATACCCTATAATATAATAATATATAGAGCTAAGAGTTCGGGCGAATATAATCTCTTTAAGTCGAACTAGGAAGCCTTCTAGAATAGATACCCTAACTAGTTCGCTAGCGACGTACGTAAAGTAGACTAAGTAATTAAGTTCTTAGCGCCGAAGGTTAATATAATATAGATAGAATACTATAGGAATAACCTAGGTACGACGTTTACTTAGTCGGTCTTTAAAATATAGGCGCTCGCTTAGGTTACCGACCTTATTAAGATATAATAAGAAACTAAATACGACTAGTAGTAGATAACGTAAGCTAAGTATTAGGATATATATTAATATACCTTAAAGCTTACCGGACTCTATAACCGCCTAAAAGATACGCCGACTAAATAGATAAGAATCGACCGTTTAGAGATAGGTATCGTTAAGAAGGTACGAGACTATTAGGACCGGCGTACTAGCGGGTCCTAGTAGGTAATATAGAACTAGAGTGAAGGAATAGTAGGGTACTAGTATATTCGTAAACTAATCGCTAAAGAGCTAAGTTCCCCTAGTAGTCTCTATATAGATAACCTTTAGCGGGTCACGGGACTAGGTCACCTAACCTAGTAGGACTTAGTCTCCCTAGTGCGGTCTCTAGCGGGGGGTTATACTACCCCTACTAGGTTACGGGTTCTAGGTTATAGGACTAGGCGGGATCTAGCCTATAAGGCACTCTCCTAGTAGAGGGTCGTAATATTTTCCCCCTCTTTAAAGAGCTACGTCCTTATAGCTAAGGGTCGGGGGTCGAGGGTCTCTTATAGTCGAGATAGGGAGGGTTCAAAAATAGTATATATATCTAGCTGTCTAAAAGAGGGTAATTTATCTTTATAGTAGAAGGTATAGATGGACTCGGAGCTTTAAGCGTTATCTCTCTTCGTCGCGTATAATCTAAGTTCTTTATATATTTTTCACTTATCTCTCTTCGAGTTGTAGCTTTCTTCTTTCTATATTTCCTTATCCTTTCGCTTTTCTTCTTATAGCTTTTCGTCGCTTCGCTTTTCTTCTTATAGCTTTTCGTCGTCTCGCTTTTCTTACTATAGGTTATTTCGACTTATTATAGTAGCTCCTTTTCCTCTAGTTATAAGTGCGACGTATACCTCTATTAATAATTACGCCCCTCCGGCTATCGTCCCTCCTACTAACCCTACGAGTGCGTAGTATTAGCGTTATATAGACCGTCTTAGATATAACCTAGGGTATATATATATCCCTCCGCCTAGCGGGATTAACGTTAATACTCCTTAGTATAACTATTATATAAGGAAGCGGTAGTCTTATATAATAGTAAGTGCGGACCTCCGCTTATATTAGCGGTTATTAACGTTCCTTAGGTCGATTCTAGGCTCGACGCCTAAGCTAATACTTATATCTTAGCGCCCTATACTACCCCCGCGTAGAATATATTATTCCTTATAATTATATAGGGGTTTTAAGGTACGCGGAATACTTTAACTCGAGATATCTATACGGGTATAGTTATATCTTTCGGTCCTTCTCGCGTTACGCCCCCTTTACCTCCTCTACCCCCTCCGCCCCCTTCGACGTAGGTTTTATTAATAAGTCGGGTTATAGGTTAGCTTCGGGCGCCTTCTCGGGCTAGGTTACGTATATAGCGGTAAGGATATAGGCGTATCTTAGGGGTTACTCGTCTAGTATAGGTAGTTATTACGTTATACCTTTAGAGAGTGTTAGCTATATTACTTTTCGTCCTATTTTTCGGCGATAAACTCCTACGTATCCTTATTATACGTCTATAGTCTCTTTAGGATATTTTTCGTCCGCTCCTTATCTTTATTAGTATTCTAGATCCTCCCCTAACCTATCTATAGCGTATATTAGTATAGCTAGTTATTTTCTAGGGGTCCGTTCGGTAGTTAGCTATTAGGTTCGGCGTTCTTAAGCCTACTCCGGTCCCTCTAACCTTCCCGGAACGTATCTAGTAGTAGATCCTAGGTTATATTAATTTCTTCTTTACGGATCTTCCTCAGCGTATTATACGCTCTAGCCGTTCTTTCTTCTTATTATAGTAGCTCTCGAATACTAGCGTGTCTTCTACGTTTTCTCTCGGCTCCTAAGTATTTTCCTTATACCTATATCCTCTCTATTTAATAAGGTATTCGGCGCCCTTATAGTTATCGGTAAGGATCTCCTTAATCTCCTATTTAGGTTAGTTATCTATTAGTATAGGATTAGGCCGCTCTTAAGCTTTTAGCGGGTCTCCGTAGTATAGCTCTAGTATTAAAGTATATTATATAGGGTAGATCTTATAGTATCTTAGCGTAAGGATTAGCTAGTATACTTATTATCCTACTATACCTACTATCGCGAAGGGTCCTATATAGCGGTTATCTAGCTTTTTATACGGTCGTCCTAAGTTAATATACTTATTTCTTAGTATAACCTATTATCTAATTACGAAAGACTTCTCTATATATTTCCTATTATAGGCTCGCTTTATTATAGTTTTCGACTCTTCTAGGCGTTTTCTTAGTATTTCTTATATCTTTAGTATTTCCTCTACGCGGTTTTCGGCGTTATCGTAGGTTTCTATCTTCCTATCTAGCACTAACGTTCTTAGTTCCGGTCGGAATCCTAATAGTACTTCGGCTAGGGATATTTTTAGTACGCTATAGGTAGTAGTATTATAGACGATCTATATAAAGGGGATCTATCTTATCTAGTCGTCCTAACACTAGCTTACTATATTATATAGGTAATACTTAATACTTTAGTTTTATCTCTCTATCTACCCGTTAGTTTATAGGTAATAGGCCGTTAATAGTCTATATCTCGTAGCGAGGAGGTAGTAGAAATAGCTCTAGAATTTTAATATAAAAACGGTACCTCTATTACTAACGAGGTTTTCTAGTATTCCCTATAGGGGTATAACCTT